TGTAAAATAACGGCTTTTATGGCTGTTAGTATAGATTTAGGGCTATTTTCTTACAGATTTTTGGGTTTTAGGTTTTGAACCCTAAGTCCTAAACCCTAAACCCTAAATCCTAGCAGAACCTGAACATCTCGGCTGAGGAGCTCTTCGCCAAGCATCAGGATGTGGTGAAGAGGCCACGGTTTTTTCCTGGCCCAGAGCCGATCATTAGGGTGCGAGGTTCAGGGCTTAGGTTCAAGGCGAGGTTTAGGGTTGAGGGTTTAGGGTTTAGGGTTGAGGGTTTAGGGTTTAGGGTTTAGGGTAGCTCTTTGGGTTAGGGATCCGAAGGGGATTCGGAGTCTTGACCTGTGGCCTTCCGCCAGGACTGATCGAAAGCGGTTAGCTTCATGCGCCTGAGGCAAATTAGGAGATTCTCCAAAAAAATCCTTGCATACTTCCTCATCAAGATCCCCAGAATCCCCTTATAATCCCTTTACATCTCCGGGGGTCCCTGACCTGGATTCCTCTCATTTTTAAGAAGCCCAGTGGCCCCCAATAAATTTTAAAGCCCAAGCCGCCCTACCCCTGAGGGTGCCGGTTCATGTGGGTTATACGGGCTTACATGGAGTTACGGGGGTTTACAGAGCATATAGGGCCTTCTTGGGTGGAGCACTACGGGTCATAGAAGATACTGATGTTCTTCCACCCAACACAGCCAACCCTCACCCACAAAGCATGTAAGCATACACTCGGGAGGACTACGCTGCGAAAGCGTGCCTTACATGTAGATCTTGCCCCCACCCTACAGCAGCATATATAGGACCCTGATGATGTGTAGAACATAGAGCGCGTGCCCTGCTTTTGAGGCTTACAGACCGCACCTCCGCGCTTTTGCGCACCTTGCTTGACGGCCTCGTGTGGAGGTGCGGCATCGCTGGCGTAACCATATGGCCACACTACGGTTCTTGTTGTCATCACGATTTTTATTGTCATTATTGTGTATTTTAGTTTCCTTATCCGTATTTTTATTACTATTACTCTTAATTGTTGGTATTGCTCTTCTTCTTGCTTTTATCGAACAAAGTGCTATCTCTTCGCATCAGCTTGCGAGACTCGTCAGGATAGTTGGGAGTCCTGGCATAGTCCCTTCGAGTACCTTACATGCCCTATACCTACTGGGCCACCCCAACCCTAAACAAAACACCCCTCTGAAACCACACACCCTAAACCCTGAACCCTGTACACCTACCACTAACCATGAGAGCTTCCCCAAAAAGAGCAGGAGTAGTTGAAGGTTTAGGTTTAGGGAACATCAGGTCTCAGCGCACTGAAGCGAACGGCACCTTGCGAAGAGTAAATTTCTTTGTGAAGCACCTTGGAAAGGACCTAGGGTTCAGGGATTTGCGATTGGGGGTTTTGGGGTTTAAGATTTTAGAGATTTTGGATTTCCGGTTTCGGGTTTAGGGTTGTAATGTTTGAATGTCTATTTCAACCTCTGTGTCAGAGAAAGGCTCTAGGCTTGATAGCGGTTTGTGCCACAAGCCATACGAACAGCTTAGAGTTCATGGTTTAGAGTTCAGGGTTCAGGGTTTAGAGTTCAAGGTTTGGGGTTCTCGGTCCTTCCTGGGGGGGTCTCAGATACCCGGGAAGCATAAGGGTATCGCAGGGTCCATCTAATCTTGAACCCAATGAAGCCCTTAAGCCATAAATCCTGAACCATCAGGCCCGTAAGCAGGGGAATCGAAGCTGAGGCTTCTCTCCCAGGAAGTTGCCTCATAGAGTTCCCGTTGAATCTGCCATCTTGCCACCCTGGGTCCTACACGCAGTACCTACATTGTGGCCATGAAGTCTAGAAACATGATCTACATTGAGCGATTCGGAGCCTTGACTGTACAAGGCGAGAATTGATGATTCTGGTCGAGAAACCCTAAACCCTAAACCCCTAAACCCCTAAACCCTAAACCCCTAAACCCTAAGCCCTAAACCCTAAACGAAATTGGTGGGTTTTACCATCAGGGAGAGGTGGGTAAAGATGTCATGGCCATCTCAGAGGTCTTGAATCCTGAGCCCGGAGACCCTCCACCTCTTATGGGCTTTGGGGTTTAGGGTTTAGGGTTTAGGCTTTTAGGGTCTCGGGTTTAGGGCTTTAGGGTTTAGGGTTTGGGGTATAGGAACCCTCAGCCCTAAACCCAAAAACCCTGAGGGTAATCCTGGCTCCACTTTGCACACATCCGAATGAGCGGGTTCAGAGGTGGCAGTTAATAAAGGAGACGCAGAAGAAACATGTTGGAATTTTGATTTTCAGAAATCACGTCGATGGTGCGGGTATCGGAGGACACTCTTTGTAGCACATGCCCTGTGAGAATGCCTCCGGGCAACGGGAAGGCTCATGACGCGGTCTTGCAAGTGATTGTCGTGGGTTTTCAACATCTAGAGCATGCAATGACTTGTGACTTTGCGTGAAAGTGCGAGTGGCCTCTCCGACGAAGGTTATCAAGATTACTCAAGAATAATCATGATATCCTTGTAGCAGAATGTGCCTCACAACTCCTACGCTGACTATTTAGGAACCCGCAGTAACTCTACGAACTCCATTGCCAAAGTTCTTGCCCTGCACTGCAAGTGTTAATCTGGAACGCTATAATGTGCCGATAGCCGCCGTATAGCTATGCGTATAATGCCCTGCATGAGCTATAGTCTAAACTCCATCAAGGGAGGCTATGCAGGGGATTATATGGGTGGTTGTCAAAATTATGGTCCCTTTTGGATCCCTATTATAATACGGCACCTAAATGTAGGGTACCCAAAAAGGGACCATAATTTTGACATCCCCCCATATAGGGAACTGATATTATAGGGCTTATTACGCGGGATACTAGGAGTTTAGACCATGCCTCATGTTATTCGTGCATTGCCCCCGAGGTACGTGCTCGAAGACGCCAAGGGCAAGTTTTCTCCCTCGCTGAAGCTGGGTCGTGTTGGGAAGGGCTGCTCCCTTAGGGTCTACAAAGTTTAATTGAGGCTACATTACATAGCCCTAGGGCTCCAAAAACAAAGACCCAAGTGGAGGTAGGACCTAGTCATAATAGACTTGAGGGCACCAGTGTAGGTATTACTTTCAGGCTGAGAACCCCAGGGCAAGGATTGAGGTTTAGGTTGGTAGGGGGGGCTGAGAGTTTTGCTTGTGGGCTTATCATACCATGTACACATGGAAGCATGCATTGATGTAGGTATGGATGTAGGTATGTACGTATCCTCCCATGCATGCATGCATGTAATCATACAATCATGCATGTATGTGTGTGTGTTGTACGTATGCGCGTATATGTATATCTGCCTAACACGTTTAGGTTTCTGGCATCTGGAAACCCAGCTGAGGAAGAACATCTCAGCGTCTGGTGATCCGAGCATCGTGTCCCACCCCTTGGTGGACGTAGTCGTGGAGCTTCTTTGGGCAGGCAAGCGAGCTTGCGCTAGCATCCTGCGCATGCGTGTGTATGCTTTTCTTGTGATTGGTGCATCTGAATCTGACCTGGCCTCTTTTCGGGTGGTCCTAGGTGTGAGGGCCCTAAACCCCGAAACCCTGGTGTCTAGATCTAAGAATTACGAAGGTGGTCTACGGCATTTGACGTTGCTGGGGCCGCAGACTTTCAACTTCATGTGAGTAGTTTGTTTGGGAGGATACTATGGTGCCCAATAAGGAAAACACCTTGAGGCTTCTGACGCTCAGAATCTTCCCCACTTACCTGATGTCTCGTGGTCAGAGGACATCCCTATTTGTTCCTTCTGTGCCACTCAACTCAATTTTGTGCAAATTCCTGACAAAATTCACAGGGCCTGTCCTGCAGCGCATTTGCTCCCTAAACACCTGCTGCAGGACAAACTCAACTTGTGTCAGGATCTCATTGACCGCCTTACTTCCGTTATCTGCCGCCTATAACTATTCTAGACTAATTTTTGGACGAGCCAAAGTGCTCTGCGCCTGATTGTCATGACTGACTGATGTCCGTGAATAATACTATGGTACCGAATATTGAGAAAGGCTATAAGTATTATAACCTCTTTGGGGTAAAGCATTTCATATACAGAACATATTCGTACTCGGCTCAACCACCAAGACAACACTGCTCAAATGCTTACTTGCGCTAACTCTCCTGAGCACGAAGCCTTGTCTCCTACCCGCTGGACCGTATAACTTCCCATTGGTTAGAAGGGATAAGGGAATATGTTCCGTGCATACTCCCTATATGAGCGAAAATCTAAACTCCCAGTATCCCCTGAAATAACGCCTAGAATACTCTCCCCTACATAACCCACTTTGAGGAGTTTGGACTATAGCTTATAGATTATATTCCCTACTAACCACAAATAGGTAAAAGCTATTTTCCATTCAAGTCTTTGTCGCAGGCGTCGTACGCCGTCAGTTTGTTGTGTCGCGTATCTGGAACATCCTGAACCTTGTCATCTTCGTGATGGGGCAGGAGATCACCCCGGCTATGATCGCGTCTTGCCTTATCTTATCTTACCATAGGGCCATAGCTTATTCTCTTTTTTCCCAGTAAGTTACGGACGGTCGAGGGCTTTCTTGGGGACAAAAGGTGATTCTAAGTTCGAATATCTGCAGGTAGGAGTCATGCAAAATTCTTGGTAGCAACCATGCGCCCTACACTTTGCTAATATTCTTAGACTCCTATCACCCCCCTTACTAAATCACAAGCCCTATAACAGCCCCCCTGTAAAATCCCGTATATATACCCCGCCTTTGAGAAAATTAGATTATGGATCATATGGGGTATATGCTCAGTGTATAGGGACCCCGAATCAAGGGCCCATACCATGTGGGCCCATGGCTTTCACATTTCAGATCTGTCACCTATTGCTCGGCTGCTGTTCTGAAACTTGAATTAAGCTGCTAGAAAATGCTTCAAACAGGAAACCGTATATTTGCTATCATGGTAACCCTAGACCTGTAACTCTGTATACCCCTATTGTTTTCTATATATCCATACCCACAAGGTTCCTGAAAATAATTTGTAATTTCTGTTACCTAGAATCCTAATATTCAGCTGAAATTATAATTTCTACTGGGGTTCCAAATCCCTTAGAGATACTTTTGTACTTGATTTAAGTTCCTTAACAGCAACCCACCCACTTGAGGCTCACAACGGCCCGTCAAACGAGCTCTACAGCCTTCTGCCGCTTGGCAGGTTGCAGTTGTCTTCAGTTCCCGAGTTTTATGTTGGGGTTATATAGAGGTTATATAGGGGTTATCTAGAGGTTATACTGGGATTGTATTGGGGTTA